CAGCCCTTTATTCCTCTTTATTGCATCAGCCGTCGATTGTGCTGTGATTGGTTGTCTGCATGTTGTCACTTCAAGAGGTACCGTTTTAGTACATCTTTTATTTAGTTAAATATATTTAAATATATATATATTCGTATATACTGTGGATACATATATACGTATATATTATTTACCGTATTAGTTTCTATCGGTACTTAAATTTGCCGCCGATTTAGAACTTTTACTAACCGTTCTTATTAAACGGTTTTAATTTCTATCGGTTCTATTATATTGACCGTTTGTGCAACGCTACATACATATATACAATGTAATAAATAAAATCGAAAGTGTAATTGATACACACACTCTGATTTTCCTCAGGGACTTTGGGTTATGGATTTTTGTTGAAAAGGGGTGTGTTTTCTCGCTTGTCGGGGGGGAATTCCTTCCAACGCCGGCGCTCCGCTTGTTGTGTTGATGGTTCTCTTTTTTTGACTTTTGTGTTATTTGTATTTAATAATTATTTTTGCTATTTTATTTATTTGTTTGTTATGAGTTCGCGCCCGTATTTAATTTATTTGTTTTTTATGTTCGCGGCCGTGTTTTATTTAATGCTATAGCAGAAACAGTCAAAAACGCAGAATTGTGGGTCGTGTCAGCTGATTCGACTTGTCTTATGGGCGCACAATGTAAGTGCCCAGTGAAAAATGCTACTCTCTTTTCTCTTTGACGTCGGATGACGTGAGAATCGACAGCATTTTGGTTTTTGCCGTCTAAACGTGTCAGCTGATCGCTCACTCACAACCCAGGGTTGCCAATATATATATACTGTAGTAATTATCAACTTTTATAATTCAATCTGTTCAATATGTTTGAAATTTTCTTAAAATAACTCAAAATTGTAGTCGAATGCAATTATTTATAAATATATAAACTATTTTTAATAGTTTGTTTTCAGTTTTGATATTTTATATTATAATTATTATATTATAAGTGAAAACATAGATGTGTACAAAAATATACATATATGCGTATTGAGCAATGGCAACATTGTGCAAATGAAAACAAACAAAGAGGCCTGATTTCTGCGTTTTTGCCACGTTTTTACTGGGCACACATTTTGCCGATGAGGAAGGAAAAGGGAGGAAGGCAGTAGCGTTTTTGACTGTTCCTGCTATTAGTTTGCACCCACGTTTGGTTAATTTTTTATTTGTTAAACACACACAATATATATTTTTTTTTTCGTTTCACCAATGTGCCGTTCTTTTTGCCTCAAAGGACCATGTAAAAACCACTAACTCACCTTCTCGGTCACCACAAGATTTTTATTTTAAAAATGGAAAAAAAGGTAAACAAAACGAATTGCTTTAAATGAGTATACGCGTGTATGTAAGTATATTGCGGATTTCTTGTTTGCGTACAATGTATTTAATTGTTCACTTTGTAAAAAGGTGATAATTAAAGTTATAATTCCGATAACGAAAACTGGAGGAGGGAAAGAACGCTGATGTTGCTCGCTTCAAAAAAATGTCCGCACACGCGTAGAACTCGCTGCTGAGATCGAAAGCGAAGTGAAGTTGCTGATCTCCTTGTAGTTTCCTTTTTCCCTTTGCTGTGTGGGATCAGCTGGTGTGATGTGGCTATTTGGTGTACGTGTATGTGGGTGTCGATGTGTGGAGTTCTCATGTGTAGTGTGGAATGTGGGTTGTAAGCCCTGATGATTTGTGAAGTGAGTATGGTGCAGGTGCGTGTCAGTGTTGGGAGGTTGAGTTGATGCGGTGGATAGTGTGGTGTATGTGTGGATGTCCGGGGAGGATGCTCATTTGTACAGTTTAGAATACATAAAAATAGAAAATGCATATGTATCCATGTATGGTATTTGATGCTTTCCATTACAATTTCATTTCATGATATGTATAAGTTTCTCGTTAATCGATATAAAGAGACTCGTACGTCGCACGTATGTATGTTTTTTGGTTTTCCCTAATTTTGTTTTTACGATTTATCGATAGCTTATCAGCATAATTTACACATGATTTAATTGGACTGGAAATGGACGCGAATGTAACTAATAAAAATGTGATACTTTGGAACTAAAAGTTGTATGAATTTTGTGATTTGTCTTTTTTTTTTAAATTGTTGAAAGGAAAGGTTTTAGTTCAAAAATATTTTTATTTTTATTACATTTTGTTAAATCTATTAATCCCTAAATAAACTTCATTGAAAATTGCAATAAAATTGAACATTGGAAAAAATTTTTTTTTTATCCACATTCTTATGTAATTATCTATGCGTATTTACATACTTCTTTCTAATCGTGCAACTATAATAACTCGAATTAACAGTTGTTAATTCACACGAACATCATTCACTTAGCCAACATCCTTTTTGCACAGAATTAATTCACACCAACGCAATGAAATGTTTTGGTAGACCAATTCTGCAGAGAGTGGATCGTTACTTGTGAGAGTGCTATGAGTTGAGCGAACTCGTTGTTGTTCTCACTAATGAGACTCGGTCCTTATTTTACCCAAACATGAGAATTCATTTTTACGTTGTGTGAGTAAGTGCAAGTTGAAATTTTTGGACAGTGACTCAAAGTTTAGTTTTTGCGTATTCATTCAGCCCTTTATTCCTCTTTATTGCATCAGCCGTCGATTGTGCTGTGATTGGTTGTCTGCATGTTGTCACTTCAAGAGGTACCGTTTTAGTGGGACGACAGCGTGGCGTCAGTATCGTCGAGTGTGGTTCAGTGGTAAGCATGAAAGGAAGAAAACGACGTAGAGTCAGTCGTGTTTAGAACTTGATATTGTGAAGTGTGAAGTCGAAACTCGCTGTGCTAAAACAATGTCTATCATAGACAACTTTATTCCGGTATATACAATAAATACAAAAAAATTCAAAAAAAATATTTTTAGTTCCACAAAAGCGGAACGTTCTTTATTAATACACGTTTACGACTTAAACAATCTAATCACCAATAGCTAAAGACGATCAAGCATGTGTGTTGCCTCTATTTATATATAAGTACTAAAGGACCCGTCCACATCTTACTGTGGCTGATACATAGGTAGTACAACTAATATCATCTATATGATTTCTATTATTTAGATTATAACTATTAGTTAAGGAGATATCGCATTTTTGGTGAAGCAACTTTTTCATTATTATTTYACTATTCCCAATATTTTGCAATATTATTATTTGTTAGGAAAGATCAGTTAGAAATATATATAATTCATCGTTACCGTTTAAATACTTCGAAAATATTGCTGTATATCTCAAATTATATTAGACCTTTTTATCAACACTTCAGTTATGCCGCTATATTTTTCTTCTAGATATCGCGTTTGGTTTGTTATGAATGCATTTGGGTCCTTTTCCATAATCTAACACAAAGCCTTGACGACGCTTGTTATGCATTCTTGTTCTCTGCAATAGTTAGCAGGTATAAAAAATGTAATGGCTGCCCATAGATGTACTGAATTACCCAATTTATTACTTAAAAACGACAAACCTTGTCCACACTATGAAAACTTGCTATTGGCCTACAGATGTCACCTTTTAAGGTTTGAGTATTGGATACTGCGATGGTAGCGCAGTCTATCGGATCCAATGTAAAACATTCCCAAATTACCAATTAATTAAAAATTAGTTTCAAAAAACACTTGCCAGTGGATTGTGAATCTAAACCATTCTGGAATCTCCTTGAAAATACAGAAAAAAATTTCATCAAAATCGGTCCAGCCRTTTAGGAGCAGTTCATTTACAAACACACGGTCAGAAGATTTATATATATAAAGATTGCTACACTAAGATAAGAGTATTGGCTGTAGTTTTGTAATTACGGCAATGGAAAATTACCAAAGTGGCGTGATAAGCATGGTGTTATCGGTTGTTGCTGTGCAGTGCTGTTTCGTTATGTGGGCATTAGATCGAGGAATTTTTTAAATTATATGATAATAGCAATACTAACAAGAAGAATACAGAATGATTTTTAATACATCAATTTTTCATTTCGTACGGAATAAACTTTAAATTCGGTTTTATAATTTATTTCATACCACGTAATCAAAAGTACAGTTCTCCTTTGTATATTTAAGATTTTTAGGAAATGACTATTTTTCCTCTAATAACAGTCTTACTGACCCATTACTCTACTCTGGCCTCTACTTTAATCTGAAATTATATTCAAGTAAAATTAATTATTAAAACTACCGTTTTTTGATAATGTTTTACTACGTTAATGTTACTTGTATGTTTTGAAATTTGTATTATATTGTAATTAATGAATAAATGTAGCAAGCCATATTTTTTAACGCAGTTAAAAGTTAAAAGAGGAATGTTTTTTTTTCTTAATTTTGAAGGTCGTCCCGAGCAAGTTCACAACTGCAGTGTAGCTAACATCTCTGTTTTTTCGCTAGCGATATCATGCATTGAAGGTTTTAATGGAGGACTGCCTCAGCTGTTTCTAATGGAAGTAAGAAACATGTACTCCAAAGTAAGTTTTTGCCTTTTTATAAGAGATTATCAAATTTGAATATATCACACCTGTTTGAAAGTAGGAAGTTTGTTTGGTGGAGTTTATGAGCTAACCGGTATTGCTGTAACGAAATTATATACCTTATTCATACATAACAGTCTTTTACCATTTCCATTACATTAAATTGTGTTTGACGCTTGGTGCTTGATAACAGCGGCGCGTACAGCATTGACCAATTATGGAGCAGGAGAAGTAAGGAGAATCTTGCGGTAACAAAACAAAAAAAACAAAAAAGGTAACGGAGCGCTCAGTTCGATTGTAACCGGATGTTTATACCATAGCAACTTCTTCTGCTTTAATGGCGTAGATACCGCTTACGCGGTTCTCCTTTTCGCTATTTGGCGCCAATTGGAGATACTAGTGCAGCCAGGTTTTCTCTACCTCATCTCTCCCACGATGGGGAGGTATTTGCCTTCTTTTGCTTCTACCGGCAGGAACTGAATCGAAAACCTTCAAGCTTGAGTGTTCTCTTGACGACAGGACAAAATTCATCTTTTGGTCGTTCACAACCAGACCCATGCGAAAGCTTGAGGCCAATGATGTCCATATCATCGCCGTATGCACCAGTTGTATACTCTTACAGAAGATTTCTTCTTCTCTATTTAACTATACTGCTCGAATTGTTATTTTCAGCAAAATATTGAACAAGTCTCCTTGTGTGAAACCTCGATTTGTATCGAACTGCTCAGCCGAACGAAACAGCCGTATTAGTTTTTCGGGGAAACCAAGTTCAGGTATGGTGGTATAGAGCTGGTGAGTCACTTTGATTCCGCACTAAATTCGGAAAATGTAAAGTTTCTTATGCTCACTTCGAAACTCTTCGAATACTAATTATATTTTGATATAATATTCGCTTTCCGATTGCTTTCTATATAAATACTTTCCGATATTTCAACACTTATCTTTCCTACATTTTTTAAATATGTACATATATTTAGTATAAAAGTACACTTGTCACAACACCCTATTTAAAAAGAAAAAAAGTTATTCGTTTTGCGGCTTACGCCATAATGAAGTTAAACATTTTTCCACACCAGAAATCGTCATACCGTTGCTCTCTTAAGTCACTTTGGCCCCAACAACTCACTTACAGCAAATATAGCGTTTTTAATGACAGTAAAATGGTCGTAAAAAGCAGGGTTCTCATTTACTATTCCGTAGCAGCAAAATTTCCAGAATTATTGACATGCTATCGCTACCGCTCTCACTTTGTTGGGAGCCACAGCATAGCCTTAGCAAAACAATGTAAAAGTATATGCTCTACTCTGCTCCGAGTTTTGCTAGGTAAAAAACTATAGCTGTAGCGGGAGCAAAAAAAGAAATTCTGCGCAAAAAATTGGGAGCGGTAGCACAGCAGAGCTAATGAAAATTTTCATGTGCTACAGCTCCGGCATGTGTTTGTTGTTTTTTTTTTCTTTTTTGCTGTTTTCTATCATAATATTTGAATTAATTGAATAATTCAAACAAAACAATGTTATGGAAATCATGTTGGCACTTGTTGCATCAAGTGACTTTATAAATSTAACATCAAATATTTTAAGAAATATATTAATGAAGTGAATTAGATAATAATTGAATATATTATAAAATGTTAATATTATGTAAAATATTTACCTTTTTATATTACCAAAAATATCATCTATTCCAAATGTATTACACTACTCAATTACTATGAATTTTCGAAATAAATTTTAACTACATATACTTTCCCCTTTTTTATATATGTACATATTTACCACTAGTTTAAGATGTTAGGTTAAGTTTTAGGCTAAAYCATGAAACTCTGGTAATAAAGAATTCTATTGTTCAAAAACCACAATCGCGAACGGACGTTTTCTTAACCGGCATCTTTGAAATTCACTTAGGCACAGGCACGTTCTCAGTAATTCGCGGAACCCAACTAATTTGTTTGTCCTTAAAAAACCTTGAGAATTCTTCAGCGCTTTATTTCTTGCGTMAAATGGCACCGTCAAAGRAAACCTTCAACGTACTTACTTACTATGAAGAGARWGATAACGACCGCGTGAAATGTAAAACATGTTCGCGTATTTTAAAAAAAGATCGCGTTTTTAATTTAAAGAAACATTTACTATTGCATGACATACGACCTGTGCAAAAAGAAAAMMTTTTYRATTCMAAAAAGAACATCAAACATCAACAGATAAAAGTTCAAATCAGTAAACAAATTTTAATTCGTTCATATATTGGTCTAGTCACTGAAGACGGCGTTCCATTCAATGTGCTTAATTCAAATAATATGCGCAATATAATTGATCCTATATGTCAAGGTCTTAAAGACAAAAGTGGAAAAAATTTCATACTAAATGGAAGCAAGTGTAAAGCTGTACTAGAGGAAGTAGCAGCGAATATTAAGCTCGAAATACATG